CATTTTTGAGTTTAGGTTTAAAAATTGGACTTCCTTTGTAAATTTGTTTCTTACATCATAAGGCAACATGGTAAAGCTTAACACAAGGCAAGGAAAACTTGGTTTTTCATACATACACTCCTAATATCTCATGAGAGGAGATTTTCACTCAAGTTTACCCAAGGTGCAAGCATGATATGATATGATTCAAAATGCCATCAAATGATAAATTCATGAAAGTTCCATAAGCTTCTAGATCCCTCTAGGACCAATCTAGAAACTTCTCATTCTGTTAATCCTCTCCTATATAAGGAAATGAAGCTATTTGTGCATGGGTTGGTGATGCTTTAAGCTTGAAAACACTACTTTGAATCCTTCACTTCAATTTGCATTTTCCATCCAAACTCCATTAAAGCTTCATCAATCATCTCAATCTCTGTTATCATCATCATCCTCCATTGTTGTAGAGTAAAAGGCAAGAAGAAGGCTCAAGGATTCGTGGCTGGATTGTTGGTTCCCATTCATCACTCCAACTTGCATGAAGGTGTGAATTGCCATTCTCAAGGGATTTAAGCACCAATTCTCTTCACAGAAATCATCACCATCATCCAAGGATCAATTAGCACAAGTGGCAAGGGTTGAAACGAGGGATAACCATCATCACCATATCCATTTGGTAAGAATGCAATTTGATTCGAATCACCATGATTAGCCACTGTTAGGGTTAGATCTTAAGTTATTTGCAATAGAGACAATCTAGGGATCATCCATGAGTAGTTTAAGATCATTTCATGAAGTTTCGAAAGATAGTATCAGTTCTTGCAAGATCAAGGAAGCTTTGGTTATGGAGTTTTAAAGCGTGTATTATTGCTTAGTGTACTCAGGATAGCATGTAGAACAAGTTAATATCAAGAATTTCAAGGTTTAATGAAGTTGCAGGGCATGTATTCATGGTGGTACCCGTGTGTTAGTGCTTTCTGTTTGAAGGTTAGAGGTTGTTTCAAGATGAATTATGGCCATGGATGGATAGAGGGGAAGAAGGGGATCAGTTTTGGTTTTTGGATCGTGTTGTTTCATGGCTTGGGGAAGGAGAACGAAGCATTAGAAGTTGGTTGCATGGCATGGGCAAAACCTGAACCTAGGGTTTCATTTGGGGAAGAAACACAATGGCCGTTGGATGGGAAAGAAAATGTTGAATTGACTTCAAGATCAAGGGCTGGCATTCAATCTGCGTTTTGGAGGGAATTACACAGCCATGTGAAACGCAGCGTTTCATTAACACGGCATTGGGCTTATTTTCATTTCCACACCCCCCAACTTGCTGGGCCCAACGCGTTGAACTGGTTCTGATTGCTTGTTACACCCCCTCCCTTTATTTCTTTCTATTTTCTTTTTCAATTTCTTTTTATTTTCATTCATTTTTGAAAATTCATAACAAATTAGAAATTGCATATTTTTAATTCATTCTTTTTTTAACATTTTCTTTAAAGAGTCTAGAAAATTATAAAAAAAATAAAAATTGCATTTTATTTTTATTTGATATTTTTCCCATATTTTCCAAATAAATGCATATTTTAAGTGTTTCATTTCATACATGATTTTGATAATTTTTGTTCTATTAGTGGCTTTAATATTTTTCACTCATTCTTTTTAGGTTGATTAATAGACATTGTTAGCTCGTATATTCAATTTAGTTCATATTTTTAGAAGTTAATTTTAGATGATTGGTTTAGGCTTGAATAACATGAACAAAATTAGGGTTTTAAATCAACTTAGGTGAGATAGTTTAATTCTTTTAGGAAATTTTCATTTGATTTTTGGGGTATGGACTATAGGGGTTATGGGTATAGGATAGATCCCCTTAGAAATCACTAGGATTCCCCTATTGCTACTGATATATTACTGTTATATTTGATTGATTGGTGTGGTGTGCCCTCTGGGGATTATTGATTTGCCTGTGTGGGTATTGAGATTGTCTGGGATTGGGAGAGCTGAAGACTTGAGGAGATAAAGACCATTGGAGATCCAGAGCCTAAAGACCAACTTCCAGAGATTGGAGAGGGGATTCCTGCTAGCAGCTGTTGAGGAGATTAGGGTTTAGGAGCTAGGCAGAGCCCTAGATTAGAAAGCTTGTTTCTCAAACATGGAATGCCTTATCTGCATCCATCCTTTCTCTATGATTCAAAGTCTCTTTCAAATATCCACCTCCTTCCTTTGGAAGGATCAGTGAATGTATTTGGAAGATAGAACTTTTGAGAGAAACTTTCTGTTTAATGTTAATAGTTGATGAACCACCCTTGGTAGGTAATTAACTGTCTAACATTCATTCTCTTCATCTGGTTGACTGATGTTCATCCTGGAGCCTGAGACTTGAAGAAAAGCCATTGTAGACTGAGGACTGGTGATCAAGATCTTTGCTTGAAGACTGTGAAGATAGAGACTGCTGCTGACTGAAGCTTGTAGCTGATTGGGGATGACTTGAAGATGGATATTGATGTAGAGCTACTGTGGCTGTTTATTTTTGCTGTATTTCAGTTCTTGATGTATTGATTGGTTTTCTGGACTGTATTGTTTGCTGTTTACCCTGTTGGGTTGAAAGTGAAGTCTGTTCACTTTTGCCTATTTCGAGGTTGATTGGGACTCCCTTGCCTCGCTTGTATTGTTGCATCCATGCATTTTACTGTTTTACTGTATATATCTGATATTGTTTTTGTTTCCGTCTATTCCCTTAGGATCTCTGTTTCTCTCTGTGCAAGAGAGGAGCATGATAGACTCTAGGTCTTAACCCATGCATGATAACATTAGGTTAGTTTGTTTCCCTTCGCAACCATAGGTTAGAGTTCTGTCTCTTCTTTCTCTAAACAAACAGAAAAATACCATAAAGACTTCAAACACAATAAAAGACACTTCTTTCGTAAAAGAACGTGAACTCATCAAGCCGTCATTTTTGTCCGCCGGGACTGCTAATCAAGAAAGCCTTTTTCAGAAGGAATAAAATCAACCAAGACAGACTTGTGTCGTACGTGGCCCGAACTACGTTTGCTCTGATCTTCCATGCTGTATGGAAGTACGTAGGCATAGGATGCGATATTCTAGCGAGCAACCTTCCCCTCCTTTCCCGTAGGTAGGCGAACTACGTTGACTCTGATTTCTCGTTCCAGGCGGGAATACGTAGGCATAAAGTGCGATACTTTGCCGAGTCATTTCATTTTCTTTTCTTTTTAATCCTTAACCCTTAGTTTAGATAGAAATAACAATCCATACCCGAAAACAAGCGTGGATCCCGTCGAGTACGACGGACGTGAGGGGTGCTAATACCTTCCCCTTGCGTAACCGACTCCCGAATCCAGGTTTTGGTTGCGACGACCATACCTTTCCCGTGTTGTGCGAGGTTTACTCTGAGCGTTTCCTTTCCCTCCCGTGGGATAAATAACGCACGGTGGCGACTCTTCTGTTCAGCCGGCGCCGATTTTCGCAGTAGCGACAAGCAGCAGGAAAAATCAATGAGCTCGAACTCCCGTACAATCTGTCTGACCTGCTCAGCTATCAGAATCTTTGGGAAGTCCTTCAGCTTTGACCCGTGCAATGTCACCTTTAGTGTGGGACGGTTCTGTGAAAAACAAATATAAAAAGATTAGCAATTAGCTTTCAAGGAACAATAATAAACAAATTAAAGTTAAACATAAAAGACATATACATCTCCCCATCATAGTTGTAGCGCACATGGTCAACATACTCATTAAGCACCGACTGGTTAATGGGTCCTCTAGGGAATCCTCCATCAGTGTGCATAGAGGGCTCGGTCGAAGGAGTTGTAACTGTTGTGTCAGTAGTAATAGATGAGACCAAATCAACAAGAGCAGCATCTGGCTGGACCACATAAGCAACAACCTCATCAAAAACCACCTCCTTAGCAACAACACCATCTGGCTGCACCACCTCATATGTCACCTCATATATGGGCTGCTCAACTGATCGTACCGGTCACTGTCGAGTGCTACGAGGTGCGTAGAACTGACCCTGCTCAGTCAACCATTTTCGGTGTGAACCAGTTGGAACTACTCGTCCAACTCGTATTTGAGAAGACTCAATCTAAACAACCCTAGCCTAGTCTGCCGCTTTATCAATAGCTCTGCCTACAATAGTGCCATCCCTTCCTCTGTATTTTATTGTCAAAGAAGGAAAAAAATTTTAAAAAAAATTAACTATTGAAAATTTCCGAATCTATTGTTAAAAAACAATGTTTTTAATACTATTGGAAATTCTAAAATTTTGGATAAAAAACAAATTTTTTATAATTATCAGAAATTTCGATAAAAAAACAAAGTTTTTATAATTATCAGAAATTTTAAAATTTTAAAAAATTTCCATAAAATTTTCAATAAAAATATTAGAATTAACACCTAAAAATTTAAAATTTTCAATACAAAATACCGGAAATTATGCAATTTGCATAAATAAATCTATTGTTTTAAAATTTTCCGGTAGTGTTAATCCAAATTTCTAATATTCTTTCATACTTTTTGAAATTCGCGCGTAGATCACGTAGATTTGAAAAATGAATGAAATAATTTTATAAATACAATGTTATCTTTTTCATACGCAATTGGGGTGTCATGTTCAATTGGGGAGGGTGATTTAAATAAAGAAGCAAAATTAGCCCGTCAAATTATTCGACCAAAAAAGCCCGTCAAAATCTGACTGCGCGGAAAATCAGAAATGTAATAATTGGACAAGCTGATTTTATCGAGAACAAGAACACCAACGTGGACTAAATCAAATACTAGAAAAGAACACCAACGTGGGACTGGGTCCTACCTGAATCAAACTGAATCAAAACGCCATTTTGATAATAACGGATGGGTTCCTTCCAACACAACCACGACGAACAAGCTAGTTTCTGAAACAAGAATCTAGCAAGTCAAATCTAGAATCAAAACCCAAACGACAATACTCCTTTTCATAGCAAAAGACAAAGTTTCTTTCTTTGTTTCTTCTGAAGCGAAACAAGAAAGAGAAGAATGATGGGTTATGTGACGAATCACCGCTGGAAAAGATGGAAGAGAAATCGCATATGGGGTGCAACTGCAACGTTTATATGTTGCATGTGTTTCATCTTGTTCACTCCTCCAATCCCTCGCTCTCTCAATCACCACCGTTTTGCTGATGTGCGCAATCTTGTTGGTAACTACTCAATTCTTGTTTCTTCAACAAAATTATGTTGCATACTTTTGTTTTGATTGCTCTATTGATTATTGTTGTATTGGTTTCTACACACAGGAGTTCCCAATACATTGAATGTGATGACAAATTTCCCTTTTTTAGTTGTGGGTGTTTTGGGTTTTGTTTTTGCCCTTGATGGAACTTTCTTCAACATAAGGTTTTCATTCATTCCTGTTGTTAATTACTGGTTGTAAATTGTAATTCATAATTGCAAAGTGTTTATCTAATGTTAAATGTGATTGTTTTGTTTGTTGAATTGTTATAGCTCACAAGGAGAGGTATGGGGTTGGGTAGTATTCTATAGTGGGATGATAGGAATTGCTTTTGGCTCTGCTTATTATCATTTGAAGCCCGATAATCACCGCATCGTTTGGGATACTTTACCGGTTAGTATTGTATTACAACTCATCTATGCTGCTGTGTTTTGTTTAGTTTGGGTTGAACTCGAATCAACTCGATCGAAATTGAAGTTATTTGGTTCGGCTGACATGCTTATGATTTGATTCGACTTTTATTGTTTGAATCTATAAGTGTTTCCATTTGATTCTAGTGTTGGAATCTTAAATTATGAAATTCAGTTTAAATATTGAAACTTTTATGGAATAGAATGTAAGTATTTTATGTGTCATGAATGATGAACCGATAGCCCAAACCAACCCGCTCATCAGGTTGGTTCAGGTTTGGCCAAAATTACGGGGTTTTGAACCAATTTGAGTTGATGAATTTTGATTAGGTTGGATAATGGATTTGATCGAAACCAACGCAACCCGATCCATGTACACCCTTACATGAAAACATATTCTTAATTCTGTGGTTCTCTACTAATCTTGTTCTCTCTGTTAATTCTTCTAATTTCCTTTTTTTCTCTCCTTAAGATGACAGTGGCATTCTCCTCGCTTATGTCTTGTTTGGTTTTTGAGAGATTCGGCCAGAGGACTGGTCTGTGTTGTTTGTTTTCACTCTTAGTCTCTGCCTTTCTTTGTGTACTTCATGAACGGTTAGTTTCTATTTGTATGTTTTCTTAATTTTGTTATGTGCCTATTTTGTACATCAAATCATGACGTCTGACACGGTGTCTTCAAGTTTTGTTCTGAACTCTGTATGCTAGTTGGTTGGTTGCAGAATTTATAATGATATCCGGTTCTGCATGATGTTCCAGTTGATTCTCCCTCTTGCTATTCCGGCAGTAGCGTTTATGTACCGATCCAAATATACTCACTCAGGATACTGGTTTTTGTCTACAGGTAACTAAGCCCTGAATGTTTGTAAATTTAGGCTAGCTCAAACGACACTTTGCATAAAACATCATGTTCCGGCGTTTAAATATTGTAGCATGATTTGGAAACAAGTTATGTAAAATTTAAAGAATATAAAGCAGTTGTTAATTAATGAACGGCCAAGGAACCACCATGTTTTCTTTATTATTTGTGGATATATTTTGAAACAAAAACTTTTTGGCGCAGGGATTTATCTGCTAGCAAAAATTCAAGGTATTACTGACAAGAAAATGTTCCGTGTAAATAACTACTTCATAACCGGGCATTCGTTGGAACACTTGTGTTTAGCACTGATCCCGATTTCTCTAAGCATAATGCTCATCTACAGGGAACTCAAGTTTCAAAGGTACTTATTTGATCACAATGGTTCCTTGTGGAAATTGCTACTATATTCATAAATTTATATACAATATATATACCGACTTGATGACTTGATGACAGGTTAGTTGATCTTAAAGATCGGCCGTGAGTTGAAGATTGTTCAACTGTTCTAGAAGATGAGGTTATCGCAGAAGTATGATCGGCAAAAATGCTGATGGATTCTGAAAACCTTGGTCAGCAACTTAAATGAAGCTATCTTCAAGAACTTGTATGCCTTACTAGTTTAGTTGTATAGCAGGGTCAAATTCCTTTACCTGTATATGACATGATTTCTGCTAACATCAAACAGCTCTTGATTTTTTAAAACTTTTTGATTGATCATTGGATTCACTATCCTTGTGAATATTGAAACTATTGTCAGAGCATATTGCTTCCTTTTCACATGCTCTTGCTTTGTCTTTTTGAATGACTTTATGTTTGTTTACTTATTCACAAGCATGTGGCTGTGCCCATGTCATATGCACATGATTGTTTTGTATTCATTTGGTGATATTTCGTTTTCTTTTGGTCCATATGGGAATTTCAAATTTGATGCAAGAGTTTGTTTAATAAGTTAAAACATGGTTGCTTAGGCTTAGTAGATTGTAGTATGTATTAGTTAAAGGAGTCTCTTACAGTCAGAACTACGAGATACACACATGCTTTTGGTTCATTTGTCATCAATTGTTTTTGTCAACGTGATTGGTTTCAAAGGCACGCATGGATTGTACCATTACCAGTAACTGGTTTGATTTTGTTTGGATTTTAAATCTTCCCTTCAATAAATACATAGTCATGGTAGTCTCATAGACACCATTAGAGTCCCACAGATAGAAATGCCAATGTTTTTCCGTCAGTTGTCCCTTCAACTAGGCCTCACTTCAAGAGCCACTTATCTTCACCATCGGAGTTTGCGTCCACCATGAAGTCCTCACCACTTCTCTTCTTCCCTCCTGCCTCACTATTAGAGCATTACCATCACAAGGCGGCATCTATACAAATGCCTGACATTTACTTGCATTTTAGTGAGTCAGACGCTCCGATGATAGTCATTTGTGTCTTGATGAAGGCGACATGTTCATAAGGATCACTATGTTCCTTGAACTTTGCCAAGGAGAAAGGTTTGAGCACTTATGGGACAAATGCTTCCCATTTTTCGTCTAAAAGTGGTCGAGGGTACAACACTTCCATCTCCTTCCATCTCCTCTGTGGAGGTAGCCTTCTCTTAGTGTTGTTGGATGTTGTGGACATTGTCCTCCAAGCTTTGATTTTGGCAGGACAGTTTGTCTATGGCGAGACACATTTTTGCTATGGTGTTGGAATAATTGCTACATCCGGTATCTTCTTCCATGGAGAACAAGTGGATTTATGAGTAGAGGTTTCAATGAGTATTGAAGGAGTGATGGCAACAAAAGGCGTGGCCTAAATTACTTTTACCGGGGCCCCACGGTAGATACTACTGTACTTGTAAAAAAAATATATAATATGTAGCACTCTTATGCTGGTAGAGGTTATGTTGGTAGAGGTGGGGAAAGACCTTAATAATTTTTGTGGGTTAGGGCTTGATCACAGTGGTGAGAAACTCTATTTGGTGGTGTTTTATGGTGAAGAGGGCGCAAACTCACGGGACGTGAAAAGCACTATAATATTTTGGGATATGTGGTGTGTATTACGACATGTCCCTTCTCATGCTATGGATGAGGTTTTCAAATAGGCTCTTAAGCCTAGGGTTTAAAAAACTCCTAAGAAGTAATAACTGCTCTCTATTGATTGGAGGAGTTGTTAACCACCCATTTTCTAGGAAGTCAAGGGCATGACTTCGCACATGCAATCATAGACTGAATAAACGTTATTATCCACGTTTCTCCTTAAGGTAAGCCCCAGTTCCATGTAACACCTCAAATTCTTGGAGTATTTATTTAATTTATGTAAATATGAGTATTCGTATTTTTGGTGATTTTCGGTGGTTGGTGAATATTAGGAATTATGGAGTTTTGAGTTATTTATTTAAATAATAGTATATAATATGAATATATTTAATATTATTATTAATTTAAATAAATATAAGTTAATTTAAGTGCAAAGTGGACATTTGAGGAGAAGTTAGTGAGGGTGAAATTGGAAAGCCCATTTTAAAGGCCCAAAGTTATGTTTAACAAAAATGAATTTTGAGGGAATTAGGATCCATTCTTGTTAGACCGTAAAAAGGGAAGAAATAGAGGGCAGAGCTCTGAGGAAGAGGATTGAGGCAAAAGTTTCGTGAGGTTTCCAAAAATCAAGGAGAAAGACTTAGAGTCGACAATTAAAGTATGAGGAGTATTGCCTTCATTGTTTTCAATATGTGATTCAATGTATTTAAAGCCGATTTAAGGGTTTAGGGATTTTGAGTATTGAATTGTTGTTGCCTTTCTGGTGAGTTTAATGAGTTTGAGGGATTTGAATTGATGATCTGATAGGTATGAGGCAGATTTGAGAGTAAGGGAAATTAGGTCTTCGTGGCCAAATTTGTTGTTGAGGTTGTTTAACCATATAGGGTTTGTGATTGTGAGAATTTTATTGACTGTGGGGTATTTGTAAGAAATAATGGGAATTGAGGCGTAAATATGATACAGGATTGGCCTAATAACTCGTAGATTTTGTGTCTTTATCGCCATAATACCTTAGGAATGATTTAGGGATGTTTTTGGGGCATTGGGGAAGGAAATTGTAGGGACTTTTGGACTGGTTTTGCTATTGGTGCGTAACAGTGTTTTGCTGTAATCGCGAGTTTGCACAGCGAATAATCCTTTGCAGGACGAACACTCGCTCCATACTTGCACGACGAACTTGCCAGCGAAAGCAACAGAGTTTCACAAATTATGTTCTGGTTCAGTGAGGTCTTGATATTTTGATGCTGTGATTTTCCTGATGAATTACCATGAGTGTAACTGTGATTCCTATGTGATTAAATGAATGTATGATGAATTAACCTGAGTGTAACTGTGATTCCTATGTGATTAAATGAATGTATGATGAATTACCATGAGTATAATTGTGATTCATATGTGTTTAAATGAATGTATGATGAATTAACATGAGCATAACTGTGATTCATATGTGATTAATACATGATTGCATGATGAATCCCCATGAGGAACTGTGATGATTTGTGACAATGATTCCATGAGTTTTGATGATTCTATGATGGTGTGATTCTTATGATTATTTTGATGAATGATGATGCACCTAATGAGATTATTATAAGGATGATATTGACGTGTGCATCATGCATTCCGGACTTCGGTCTAGTGTTTGATTCTTGTGGCTTCAGCCCCATTGTGCGGATGTGAAGTATTTTGATGTGCTCCGGTTCTCGTGTAGAATAGATCCTATTGTTGGGGATCTATGGAGGGTTGTTGGCCCAGTGTCCCCGAATTTTGATGAATTGGTACCACATGCATGAGTCTTGTTGCATTTGCATTTATGTGACAATTTGGTGTAATTTATGATGTTATGCCTTTTGATGTTTCCTTGATGATTATGATGATGTTGGATATGAAAATGACGCTATTTTATATATTGATTCCTTTTTGAGTTCCGCTGCCATTTGAGCAATTTTTGAGTAATTTTGGAAAAACTCGTTGTTATTGAATAATTTGAGTTCCTTTTTGAAAAACTCGTTGTAATTGAAAAACTCGTTTTAATTTTTGAGTAATTTTGAGTTCCTTTTTGAATTATTGAGAAATGTCCGCCCTTTGAGGTGACTTTTTATTGTGTTTAAAATATTACTCTGATAAATGTGATTGATTTGTCATTATATTTTTGTGGTAGAAAAAGGTGTTATATTAGTGGTATCAAAGTAGGTCGGTCCGTCCGGCCAAGTTGTCTAATGTTATTTGTTTCCTAGTATGCGACATGTGTGTGAAAACATTATCGGTACACGTTTGTTTTCTAACTTTTGTCTGCAGAAGTGGGATTGAATCAAGTGGGGGAGAGACTCGTGCTTCTCCAAGATGCTTCAAGTGTGGAGTGGTGGCTCAGTGTGTTGTTGAACGCTCTTATAGTTTGGTAAAAGGTAGTTTATGCCCCATCATGATTTCCGGTCGTCTATTGACAAATTGAGGAACTGATCACCCTTAATCTCTTGTTGATAGTAGACGGGGTCATGTTGGATGGGATAGACGTGTCTTGCAAGCTTAGATGGCATGTACAGTGAATTGTTTTGAGTTAAGATAAATGCTTACAGATTGTTTTGGTGAGTCGGTGCAAGATAGTGTGAGATGTTTATTTTGATGGAAACTTTAAGTGTTAATAAAGTGGGGAAGTTGGTGGTGTGCCAATTAATTGTGATTATCTGGAAGTTTTTCCTGATGAGATAAGTGATTTACCGTCGGAATGCGAACTGGAGCTTATGATCAACTTAGTTCCTGGAACTAGCCAGGTATCGATGACTCCATATCATATATCCACATCGGGATCGAGGAAGTTGAAGAGTCAACTTGAAGATCTGCCCGAGAATAGATTCTTTTGTCCGAGTGTGTCACCGTAGGGTGCACCAATTTTGTTAGTTAAGAAGAAAGAAGTTTATGTGGGTTTGTGTGTGGATTATAGACAACTGAACAAGGTGACTATCAAGAATAAATATTCACTTCCAAGGATTGATGATTTGATGGATCAGTTGGTTGTTGCAAGTGTGTTCAGTAAGATAGATTTGAGATCTGGGTATCATCAGATTCGTATGAAACCTGAGGATATTCTGAAGACAACTTTTATGACGAGGTATGGACATTATGAGTATTCTGTGATGCCATTTGTAACACCTTAAATTTTAATTGGAATATTTATTTAATTTATTTAAATAAGAATATTTACATTTCAGTGATTTTCGGTGGTTTTGTGGATTATTGAGAATTATGCATTTTTGGGTTATTTATTTAATTAATAGTATATAATATGAATATAGTAGTATTATTATTAATTTAAATAAAGATAAGTGAAATAAGAGCGAATTGGACAATGGAGAGGAGTTAGTGAGGGTATTATGGGAAAAGCCCACTGTGAGGCCCAAGGCTAGGTTTAACAAAAAGGGAAGTTGTGAAGGGGTTAAGATTCATTTGTTAGACCGTGAAA